ACCTAGATGGCTACCAAAAAAAGACATGAATTCAACAAGGACACTGAAATTAGAAATGACAGGTGGGTGAGTTGCCTATAAATCTCAACTACTTGGGAGGCTAAGACAACAAAATCGCTTGAGCCCAGGAGTTCGAGGCTGCAGTGAGTTATGATGGCACCACTGCACTCCAGCCTGGGTGACACAGACTCTGTCTATTTTAGAGACTCTGTCTTTAAAATAAAAATTAAAAGTAAAATTAAAAAAAAAAACAAAAAACCAAGGCATGCAAAATAGCCCTACATAGAAAGTAGGGAAAGTCTACAAGCATTTTCTTTCTCAAACAATATTTTGCACAAATTTTACAAAAAGCCTCAACTGTTCCATAGTCACGCTGTATGTACCAAGAAAAGGAGGCCTAGCCCAAGGACCACTCTTTACTTAGAGGGACAGATTCTGGAGACCACTCAGTCACAGCATTAGGAGAAATTGGCAGTAGCCTCTTTGTCTGCTAATTGGCCAGCAGGAAGTCATCTCATAGTATGATGAGATTGATTTTGTACATGATTATAAGAATGAGCAAGAAAACAAAACAAAATTCCCTCTTCTCAAATCACATTCCCTTTGTCTCCCAGTGTCTATCTAATATGACTGATTCCTTTTTTTTTGAGACAGAATCTCACTCTGTTGCCCAGGCTAGAGTGCCATGGGCACTCTAGCAGCCTAGCTCACAGCAACCTCAAATTCCTAGGCTCAACCGATCCTCCTGCCTCAACTACAGGCATGAGCCACCATGCCCAGCTAATTTTTTTTTTTTTTTTTGAGACAGAGTCTCACTTTGTTGTCCAGGCTAGAGTGAGTGCTGTGGTGTCAGCCTAGCTCACAGCAACCTCAAATTCCTAGGCTCAACCGATCCTCCTGCCTCACCCTCCCAAGTAGCTGGGACTACAGGCATGAGCCACCATGCCCGGCTAATTTTTTACATATATATATCAGTTGGCCAATTAATTTCTTTCTATTTATAGTAGAGACGGGGTCTTGCTCTTGCTCAGGCTGGTTTTGAACTCCTGACCTCGAGCGATCCGCCCACCTCGGCCTCCCAGAGAGCTAGGATTACAGGCGTGAGCCACCGCACCCGGCCTATTTTTTATATATATATTTTTTAGTTGTCCAATTGCTTTTCTATTTTTAGTAGAGACGGGGTCTCGCTCTTGCTCAGGCTGGTTTCGAACTCCTGACCTTGAGCGATCCTCCTGCCTCAGCCTCACAGAGTGCTAGGATTACAGGTGTGAGCTACCGCACCTGGCCAATATGGCTGATTCTTAACATTAGCCATGGAGCGTCCTGTGCTTCCGTACCATAGAGGTGGTAAATCAACAAATTCAGAGAGAACTCACACAGTTGCCACCAGCTGAGGGTGTCCCAAGCAGCTCTGAGGTGTGTGGAATTGGCAATAATAGCCCGTCCTCGTTAACATATACTATCAGCAAGCTTTAAGAAGTGTTACAAATTCTTTAATTGCAAGTTTTCTGAAATTAAACTTTTCTATCTTAGAAGGCAATCCTGAAACAAAACCTTGTAAAACATGCTAGAAGGGGAGGATGTAAGGAGGGAGGCCAACGTTTATTGAGCAATGACTCCCAGTGCTTTGCACTGAGCTGGCTGCGACCCAAACATGAGGCTTATCTTAAGCCCCATGTTTTGATCACAGCCACATGCAGTAACCAAACTGACTGCCAAAGTATGCAGAAAACCAGACACATACACTCCAGCCCACACATGTCTATCAAACCATCGTTCATCTTTCTATTCTATGGAAAGGGTCTCTGTCCTTCTGGAAACCTAGCTCTGCTAATGGGCTCTAATGGGCTCCAAAGAGACAAAACTTGTACTACCTGGGCCTCCCTCCACCAGGAGGACAAAAGGCCACCTCTAAGAGACCAGCAACACCCCCTAGTTGGCTGTTTGATCTCCTTTAAGAGAAGGGACACTTGGTTTTTTGTTGTCTTGTTTTACAATTATTTACTATGCCCATCAGAATCTGATGGATTTTAAAATGCTTGCTCAATGGTGTTATCCATTTTCCAGCCACACCTCGTGTCAGAAAATACTATACCCATCCAGGATTTGAGAAGCAAATATTTTCTTAGAGTCTACTCAGAGAGAATCCATAAAACAATTTTGATTTTTATGTGTTCTAAGAAAGGGATTTCAGAAACAAAGAATAACCTATGGGGTCCTTAAGCTTTTCCAGTTTTGTTTTTCAGTTGGCAGATGGCTTCCCCTGACCCTCCCAAAAAACTTGCAAGATACTTTTGAGTATTCCTGTTAATTTGCCAAGCTTTGCTAAGCTGTAGACAAAATTAGCTTTTTACTTTGATTTGTCAATGTTTGAAACAAAACCCTGTTTTAAAATACCTGCACCATAGCATAGATTGGGTGGTTGAGTTTAGGCAGACTCAGGACAGAATCAAATTATTGCAACCCAAGTTCCAATCCCCCTAAAGGTTCCCACACTGCCACTGCTAGACCGTGAGCTCCTTGAGGGAGAAACATGCCTTCTTTCATGGAGCACAGGCCTGGCACAAAGCAGCCTCTGTAAAAGTTTGTAAAAGAATGAGATGGACACTGTATCACATGAACAATAAGATCTGTGTCAACTGTATAAGGTCTTTGTAATTGTTGCTAGAGCAAGGGTACTCAATTTCTGCTCTCTGGAAGTTAATTACATAAACAAACAAAAGACTTTGAATATTTTTAAAAAAGATAGTCTCATAGCTTTTCTAGTAGGTTTGTATAGGTTCTCCCCAATATTTTTTATTCCTCCTTCCAAAGTACAACTAAAAAAAATTTTTTTAAGTCCCCAAGCATACTATTAATATTTTACTCCTTTAAAGGCAGGATTTAGACAAAGAGAGCACAGACCAAACTGATTTCAAAAAATTAAATTCAAAAGAGGAAAAAGAGGTGCACATCTAAGGTTTTAAGTCATTGTTAACCAATGCCCCCAACCCAGTTCTTGATCTCCAAATCCAGACGGAAGGAAAATTTAGGGCGAGGGATTAGGCCTCAGCTACTCTGCATTTGAAAAACTTTTTGGCAGGTGCTCTGCCAGGCAGTCTATAATTAGTGGGTATGCCTCAGAAACTTAAAATGAACTCAAAGGGTCTCAAACACCAACGGCCAGCCCTCTGAACACAGAGCTGTGTAGTCATAGGGCTGCAGGTATCTAAAACTTGGCATTGGATGTCCTGCCGCCATACGTACATGTGCATGCACACGCATGTTCCAAAGAGTCTCTTTTTTCAAAGCTCTAATGGCTTGCTTGACCTCAACACCTGCTACACTTCCTGAAGACAGACAGGCTCTGGAGCTCCACTTGTTCCTCGCATGCGGCTGCACTTTCTAGGAACGACCAACCGCACACATGTAGAGTCTGGCCAGCTGCCAAGGCGGGGGCAGCCCAGCCGCCTCGGGCCTGAACTTTCCCAGCACTGTCAGGGCAGGATCCTGCTACAAGCTGACTCAGCGGCCAGCATGGAACTCTGCCAACCACACAGCAGTGCGGGGGCTGCCGGCAACTCAGATGTTTTGCTAAACCAAAGTAATCAGTGGGAGGCGGGTCTGGGCTGGCGGCCAGGGTGCTACTATCGTGGAAGTTGGGATTCTCTGTCTGCAGTTTTAGCTCTGCCACCATCTCCCTGGGTGATGTGAGGGAAAACCTCTGTGCATCTCAGTATCTTTCCTGCTTCAGAGGCACTGTTTGCATAAAAGAGCTCCTGGGGCACTACTATCTACACCACATGCCTGGCACTGAACAGACTTTCATGTGTGCTAGCTCAGTTAATCAATCCTCACGACATTCTTGGGAGGCACCTTCATTCTTTTTATTTCACAGATTAGAAGACACAGGCACAGCAATTCTACCAAAAGATCAGAAAGGCAATACATGGAAGAGATGAGATTTGACCCTCGCTTCTCACTTTAGAGTCTACTGCAAACACCACTATTGTAAAACTCAGATTTATGACACAGGGCTCCTTGATCCAAGATGTTTGATTTTTCAGGTTCCAAAAGACTTTTCGTATATGACTTCTCAGTTGCCCTGTGAAAACCCACAGCTCTTCACAAATGATTTCTAACTTGCACACTGGCCATATTAAGAGCATGTGCTTACACACAGTACCCAGGCACCACCAGGCTTTACCATGAACTCCCTGCCTAAGCACCAACAAGTCACTTAACCTGGAACAATTTCTCATTATTCCACTTTTTGGGTAAAGAAAAACTGCTCATAGGTAACAAAGAGGAATTAGAAGTCAAAGGATTGGCTGAGAACACAGATTCCCTAGGCTGTCCCCTCTGAGACAATTAAGATTCTGCAATTTGTATTTTCTTTTTAAGCTCCCTAGCTGACTCAGATGCTCAGCCAAGTCTGGAAGTCACCAGCTTCCCTTGACTAAAAAGGGAATTTTCAGGCCTACTCTTTCTTCCCTGTTTCAAAGGGGATGAGGTAAGGGTGAAATGAAATCAAGTCTATAAAGCTGTTAGAAAATATACACAATGCAAGCACTTCTTGTCATTTATGTTTAGCTGCAAAATAACAAGCTGTCCTTAAAGAACATGATCCTGGGTTAGCCTGGAGCTAAGAAACTGTCTTAGGCAAGATTGTTCTTTTACATTACTGTTAGAAAAACAGTAATTAGTCACATATCTCTTTAGTAGATATTCCTCATAACACTGTTGCAACCTCATCCTTCCCTTAAAAAAAGAGATTATACTGACAGTCTTTCACATCAAACTTAGAACAAACTATATTAAGAGTAACTTGTGCATTTCATTGCTTTAATCAAGAAAATAAATGTTAAGTGAAAAAATAATTCAAAGTCTATTTATGTGTAGGCTGATGGCCACCGAAGTGGGTGAGAAGGCACAGACTGGCACAGTCCCTGCCTGCCTCATACCCATCTCTAGCCTGCCTTTAGGAAGAACAAATGGCCTCCCATACCAGTAAGACTGACCTGCTTGAGCTGCTCATCCAGATTCCAGCTCTGCTGCCCTGGTGTGGAGACCGAAGGTGGGGCCTTGGAGGCATCTTTGGTATGGTCTTCTTTAGCTTGTTGTCCATGCAGTGGGAGCCCTGGTGCTGGCAGTAGATTGGACATGGGTGCCGCTTGGGGTTCTTGGCGAGGTGCTTTCTGCCCGTGAAAATATTTGGAAGCAGCCTGGGTTTCTTTCTCAGTCACCTCTGCAACTTCATTATCCCCCTCCTCATCTTCCATACCTCCTTCCTCTTCCTCAGGCTCTGAGTTCACATTGCCCCGTTCAAAAACTCGGGCCACTACTGTGGCTGGTGTAACTCTGGCTAAGGGACCCAGCGCAGGGCTACCAGAAGGCCTCCCAGGTGCAGGAGAAAGGAGAGTCGGCTGTGTGACCAGCTTGTGGGCATACAAGAATGGGGCTTCTCTCGTCTGCTGTCCCTGCTTCTCTCTGGCATCCATCTGCAGAGGAGCCGGGTGTGGCTGCTTCTGTTGCTGCTGCTGCTGCTGCTGGGACTGCTGTAGTGGCTCCATTACTGCGTCAGGCTTCACCCACAGATTGGCATGGCTCTGAACCTGGGCACAGCCCACCAGGCACACTGGGTGTAAACCTTGAGTTAGATTAACAGAAACCACAAAGAAGGAGGGGGCAAAAAACAACTATGTAAAACAGGCATAAAAAGGCTTTCTTTTCTCCAGTAAAGGGCATGAGTTCTGAATACTAAATATATACTCCTGAGCTATACCTAAGTTTTAAGATGAGTGAGTGTAGTGGTTTGGGGGCTGGGTAAGGAAAGTTGTAAAGAAGAACAGATCTAAGAGGGGGAAAAGAGGAAGAATCTCAGTAGTGGTAGACTACTGAGGATTTTAAAAGAAGTAAATCCAAACAATATCTAGTCTGTTAACATCTGTGTTCTGATCTCTCTTCCTTTTTTTTTTCTCCCCTCCCCCTGATCTCTCTTCCTTTACATTACCAAACATTAATCTGTTTATTACTGAAAAGTCAACTTTGTTTGCACTGTATATTAATTGTAACTATGAAAACTACAATAATAAACAGAAAGTGCTTGCCTCCAAAAGAAAGAATATTGCTTATGTTCCCAGGCCAATCAGAGAAAATATCACCTCCAAGCTCAACACAGAGCTAACAGGCAGACAGAATGACTATTCTCAGAAAAAGCAAGATCAAGCAAACTGCTCTTGGGTTTAAACTTTTTCAAATTTCTCAGATCAAACTGCCGGCCTGCTTGTCGAGTAGACTGAGCCATACTAACTGGACATTATAGCCTCAAAAAGAATTCAATTTCAACAAGAAAGAAAGAAACATGCAAGCAGGCAAGAGTCTCAAATTGCAATCGTCATTCAAAAACAAACGGGGGAATTCCTCTGGAGATTTTTAAAGTTAATTAATTTGAAACAGATATCAATATTGCCTAAACAAGTTAATGCTTCTTCTTTTTTATAAACAGCCAAGTAAATCTCTTCACATCCCCTTTCTTTCTGATTCACTTCCATGATAGTCTATGACAAATACAAAAAGAAAAGCCTTTCAGGCCAAAAGCATTCTGGGACAGGTTTATCTGCATTCTTACCAATCAGTCTCCAAATACACACCCCTTTCACACCCTCTCCTCCAGCCCCCCCCTCCTCTTCAGGCCTCCACCCCCAACAAACCTCACTTGAGTTATGTTTCCTCAGCAAGTCTCCATAACAGAATGGGTTACTATGCAAGGGCAAATTTTAGGCGAACAGGACTTGCAACATGGTGTACAATTTTGTCATCGCATGAAAGAAGAAGCTGCATTGCACAGGTTGGGACTTGATATTTGCATTGTTCCAGTGTTTTAGGATTGGGCCCAAAGACAAAAAAAAAGTGTCTTTAACATCTTCAAAAATTCATGGGAAAGTAATCACATCCCTAGCAATAAAAACCACTCGGATTTATACATTTTTTATAGGTTAGAGTTAAAAAGGCACAATTTTTAAAACTAAGCAAATTAGTAGAGATTAAAAAAAATTATCCTTTTCTGTTTATCTTACAGCACTGCTTATGCCTTTTGTATTCTGTGAAAAATTCAAATTCCAATTTGCCTCTTACTGCCTTTACTTCCTCTCTTGGCACTTTAGAAAGTGTGAGTTATGCCTGCAGCAATACTTTCATTCTGCTCTAGCTCTTCTTATAGTGTAAAACAGCATGAAAAGATTTACAGCCACATTAAATCCAGTTGGCAAAAGTGTTCATTTAAAATAAAAAACAATTTGGATCAGAGAGGATTAAATAAAAGAATAAAGCAAATAATTCGGTAGTCATTTTAAATGTCCTTATAATCATTACAATCAATCACAATGAGAATAATTTATATACTATTGGAATAATATATACATTATAATGGTAATTTTCAACCGAGTCCTGCCAGTCACTGAACAACTGCTTCTTCTAGTCTTGTAGCACCATCTTCTCGGCATGCTGTCCCCAGCAGAGGGGGGAGGTGTCCCATAGCCTCTTTAATAAGACTGAGATGACTCAGTTCCACAACTCAATAGGCACACCCTCCCTCAAAGAGCCCACCTTCCCCCAATCCCTAAGCAGCCACTGATCCAAACAATACCACCTCTTTACATTTGGAGAACTTACGTCTCAAATCTAAACCACTTCATCCCTTCGCACAGCCCCCTCCCCCATTTCCCAAAAGATCCCATACTACCAAGCAACGGACTGCCTTGAACCCGGCCCAGCTGACCATGCACCCCACCTTTTCTGCCGGATTCCTCTGGCCTCGTGCCCCTTTCAGCCCCATACCCTACCTCCCTGGCAACTCTAGCACCCCCCATTCTTTATACACTCCTCCCACGCCAGCCCGATCACTTTTACCTCCAGCAAGCCCTCCCGGCCAATCCGCTGCTCTTCTCCGATAGCCCCAACCACACCTATCCTCGCGCTCTCAGCTCCAGGGCCCCTCGCCCTCCCATCTCTTTATCTCCAATCACCCTAAAGGGCACGGGGCGCCTCGGGCCCCTCCGGCGCTCTTACTTTTCCCTCGCGGCCCACGCGCTGCGGCGGCCCGCGCCTTCCAGCCCCTACACACCTGCCTCCGTCCACCCCGCGTCCCCTCCACCTGCCACAGCCCCGCTCCCGCTCCCGCCGAGGGCCCCGGGACCTGCTCGGCTTACCTGCGCAGGGCTCTCCGGTCCTCGGGCGGCGGACGAGACCGCCGCTCACGCGAGCCCCGGCGCGGCAGCTGCGTCCAGGACTCCTCCGCGGCCGGGGGCCACAGCCGGGGCGGGGCCCGCACCGGAAGCGGCGCCGCGGGGCTGGACAGCCGGCCCGGGGCGGGGGCGGGGCGGGGCCACAGGGCGGGGCGGGGCCTGGGGCCGGAAGCGGCTAAAAAGGGAACGGGGTGGGGGCGAAGCGGAAGTGATTTCTAGGTATGCCGCCGCCTGGCTCAGTCGTGGGCGGAAGCGGGCGAAAGCTGCAGCCAATGGAGATGTGCGGACATGGAGGGGTTCCGGTGTGAGCACTTTCGCGGGGAGTTGAAAAGAGCCGGGCTGGACGCGGAGTTCTCTGAGTGTTCTCTGGTTGCAGAGGTTGGCGTGCCGTGGGTGGTAGGTTGAGAAAAAGGTAAATAAAAGGCGAAGGAGTGTTAGGGCTTTCCGCTGCTTCAGTCCCTCCCCGCTCTCCAGCCTTCAAACTGGTCTTCCTCAGGGATTCCCGTTTTTAGGTCAGCTTTTCTCTGAACTTCACTCATTCCTGGACAGAGACCTGCCTGTCCCAAGAATGCTGCATCCCCTGAAACTCCCTTACATGAGTTAGTGTCCTCTCTTCCCGGTTGCCAAAAGTAGGAGCTGTGTGCCGAGTACTGTCAGCTCTTGTAAAGACTCTTGCTTCTCCAGCGCTTCCTCTTAGACTTTGCCACCCATTGAACCACCCCGTAGAGATAATCTGTCGAGCTGTGTATCCAGCTCCTTGGCTTACTTTCTCCCCTCTGATTATCTTTCTTGATGCTTTCAGAGTCTTGTGTGAACAACACACCTAAGGTTGATCCTCATCTCTAGCGACCCTTATTATCAGCCTCCCAGTCAAAGCTGGACCTTGTCATGAGAAACGCTATCGTAATTCGAACATCCGTGTGGCCAACCACAGCTTGCTCTCCCCTCAGCTTGACTGCCAGGAGTTAAAGCATAACTGTACTTTCACTTTATCAGAACCTCTAATCTGTTGAAAGCCTTTACTTTTATCTCTTATCCATTAACTGACTCCACTCTTCCCTTCTATCCATTTTAGGTTTAATGGTATATCATTACAATTCCACTTCTATTTAATACCTCCAATGAAACTCCCTTTTCCACAACTAAGTCCCCCACCCTGGATGGACCTACATGTTTCTCCATGCTTGTACCTTGTCATAGAAAATTGTCCTGCTGAGCAGATTGACGTCACCAAATTAGTATTTATCAACCTTAAATGGACTCTAAACTGTGACTAGAAATTTCATTGTATTTTTCTAGTCAACTTGCTGTCTACTATCTTTGCACATCTCTAGCCCTCTACTCTCCATGTCACTTCCGCTGATTTTCTTATTGTTAAAAGTAACAGAAAAGATAGAATGTATTCCCATCCTGTTGTTCCCACCTATAATTTATTTAATCCAAAATTTTCATTGAACTCCCACTGTGTGCCAGGCCAGGTACTCATTTAGGTGCTTAGTGAGGAGTGGACAAAACAAATTCCCCACCCTCAAAGATCATTACTAGTTCAGGGAGACAGAAAAACAAATATATAGTGTCAGGTATCTGTGCTACAAAGAACAACAAAGCAATGTAAGGATTAGACAGTAGTGTCAGGTAGCTGTTATTTTAGATGTCAGAGAAGAACTTCTTGGTAAGGAGCACATAAGCAGAAATTGGAGTTGACTTGATGGACATGAGCCATGTGGATATCTAGGGGAAGAATCTTCTAGGCAGAGGAGACAGCAAATTCTCCTCTCAAATATGCTCCTGCCTCAGAGCATATTTGAGGTGATATAGGAATAGTAAGAAGACCACTATAACTGATGCAGAGTGAATGAGGGGGAGAGTGGTAGGAGATGAGATCAGAGAGGTAGCCAGGGGCCAAATCACTGAGGGCCTGATAGATCATGGTAACATGATCCAGTTACCACTGAAACCACTGGAGAGTTCTGAGCAGAAGAGTGACTTGATCAGATTTAACTCCATAAAGGGATAATATACTGTGAGGGTAAAGGGATAAAAGCAAAAACATTAATCCTGGCAGAAGATGTGGCCTGAGCTACATAACAGCAGTGGAGCCATGTGGTGAGAAGTGGTCAGATAGTGTATTTTGAAAGTAGAGCCACCACTATTTGTTGATACACTGGTTGTATAGGTTAGAGAAGAGAGTCAAGGATGATGCCAAGGTGTTTGGCCTTAGAAACTTTTAGAATAGTGCTATCAGGCCGGGCATGGTGGCTCACGCCTGTAATCCTAGCACTCTGGGAGGCCAAGGTGGGCGGATTGCTCAAGGTCAGGAGTTTGAAACCAGCCTGAGCAAGAGTGAGACCCCATCTCTACTATAAATAGAAAGAAATTAATTGGCCAACTGAAAGAAAGTATATAGAAAAATCTAGCTCGCTTGTGGCACGATGCCTGTAGTGCCAGCCACTCAGGAGGCTGAGGCAGTAGATGTGCTTGGAGCCCAAGAGTTGAGGATTGCGTGAGCTAGGGCTGACGCACAGCACTCACTCTTACCTGGGCCAAAGAGGTGAGACTCGTGTCTCAGAAAAAAAAAAAAAAAGAAAGAAATTAATAACGATTACATTTTCTGCTTGAATTGACCCCACAAGAGATTTTTTTTTCCTTTTTTGGGGAGCAGGACAGAGTCTCACTCTGTCACCCGGACAGAGTGCAGTGGCATCATCATAGCTCACAGCACTATCAAACTCCTGGGCTCAAGCAATCCTCCTGTCTCAGCCTCCCAAGTAGCTGGGACTACAGGTGTGAGCCATGACGCCTGCTCATTTGTTCGTTTTCGTAGTCAGAGAAAAGGGCTTACAGTGGGATCTCCCTCTTGCTTAGGTTGGTCTCCAACTCCTGAGCTCAAGTGATACTCCTGCCTCAGCCTCCCAGAGTGCTCAGATTACAGGCTCAGTGAGCCATTGCGCCCAGCCCACAAAAGATTTTTTGAGGGTTAATCACCCTAAAAGGCAGGAAAGGACTGTCCTGCAGTTACTGTACCTTTTTACTGTCAGGGAAAATTAAAATGTAACTAGATAATTAAGGTTTCTTCACATCCTGAGATTAAGGTATACCTCTCAAGCCTCTATTAGGACATATGTAAAGCCTCTGCTGGGTAAATGGCATTAACGTGTGTAAAGAAAGAATGTGGCGGAGGGGGCCCCTGAATGAAGGTGTATCAAGTCAACACATTCCTGAGGGGTCCTCTCTAGCTGTGCAGGTATCTGCAGCCCCAGTGGCCTTCCAGTATGTCTCCCTGAAGGGAGTGGATATGCCCATCAGGCTGACTCCTATGTCACCTTTCATAAAACTGTTTGTATTTTATATTTTATTTTATTTATTTATTTTCTTTTGAGACAGAGTCTCCCTTGTTGCCCGGCTCAGCGAAGTGGCCCATAAGATTTTGTTTCCCCCTGTACCTGGGGGGGCGACGTCTATATGGGGTGGAGCTATCTAGAGAGAGGGGCGACCGGTCGGCGCAGGCCCCCTTGGATCCATGACGTCGCTAGCTCACCCAGAGCTCAAACTTCCTGGACTCAGAGCATCGCTGCATTATAGCTTCTGAGTAGCTGGAACGGCTGCGGATACACTGCAAGCTAATTTTCGTTGTTATTTTTTAATTGTGTATTAATTTCTTTCTTGTGTATGAGTAGAGACGGGATCTCACTCTTGCTCAGGCTGGTTTCAAACTCCTGACCTCGAGCAATCCACCTGCCTCAGCCTCCCAGAGTGCTAGGATTACAGGCGAGCCACCCCACCTGGCCAAACTGTATTTTCAATCAGACTGTTGGTATTTGGTGCCTGATGACCTGGGTTGTGTGACATATCAGCTTCCATTAACCACTCAACCCTGGGGAAATATCAGCACCAAGTGACTGAGGCCCAAAACTAAGCTTTGAGAATTTCTTCAAAGAAATGAGGCCTCCTGGCAGTGGGCAGACCAACATTCCCCTGTAGGTAGTTGCACTCTTACCACATTCCCTTTCCACATGCTCTCACTGCAGAGATCTTTTCCAAGCCTGTGGCTCTGTGATTTGCCAACATTCTGATGTTTCAGTTTGACTATATGATAATATAGTCTCAACTGGGAATAGAAGAGGTCAGACCTCTAAGGCAAGCAAAAAGGCCAATCCCAAAGTGACTCATTGGATTGTTTCACTCTCCTTGATACTTAATAAAAAGCTGTCTTGGCCGGGCATAGTGGCTCATGCCTGTAATCCTAGCACTCTGGGAGGCCAAGGCGAGAGGATCGCTCAAGGTCAGGAGTTCGAAACCAGCCCGAGCACCAAAGTAAAAGGGAGTAGGAAGCAGTTCAAGCCATCTGTCCTAGACCAGGACATCTGGTCACAGGCCTGTGCCTATGATTGGGGCTCTTTGGGAGCCATCTCCTCTCCATCCAACAGACCTGTGATAAGCCAGACCCTGTCAAGTGTTGGTGAGACTAAGAGGAGAGGGTGCCTAAGCCCAGGTCAGCCTGGCAATGAGCTTGACTGGCTGGGAGAATAATGAGGCAAACCAATTCCTGTAAATGTGTGCACAGACACCTGCACATGCCCAGGGGCTTTATAGTCCACAAAAATCTTTGTTTCCAGGCACCAACACTGAGTGTTGGACTGTCATAGACAGTAGTAAACATTTTCTTTTTCTTCTTCTTTTTTTTTTTTTTTTTTTTTGAGACAGAGTCTCGCTTTGTTGCCCAGGCTAGAGTGAGTGTCCTGGCATCAGCCTAGCTCACAGCAACCTCAAACTCCTAGGCTCAAGCAATCCTGCTGCCTCAGCCTCCCGAGCAGCCTCCCGAGTAGCTGGGACGACAGGCATGCGCCACCATGCCCAGCTAATTTTTTCTATGTATTTTTAGTTGGCCAATTAATGTCTTTCTATTTATAGTAGAGACGGGGTCTCACTCTTGCTCAGGCTGGTTTCAAACTCCTGACCTCGAGCGATCCTCCTGCCTCAGCCTCCCAGAGTGCTAGGATTACAGGCGTGAACCACTGCACCCAGCCTAGTAGTAAACATTTTCTATCGCCAAGATTTGCTAGGACCCTTATTATCTCTGGGTTAAAAAAAAAACAGGCCAGGTTTGGTAGCTC